TGCACCTTGCAAATGCTACAACTGCCTGTACATAAAGTACCTGTGTCTAATAATGGCAGCTGAAAATTCTTGTCACGGTGTTTTCTTGGGAGTTTCTTATAACGTCGTGGACTGATCTAACACTTTCAATGTCGAAGGCAAGATTGCGTTAGCGAACCATCGGGACCCTCGAATCAGTGCTATGTAGAGTATCCTTCGCCGTCTCTGTTACAATCCGGACGCCCCGGAAAGCTCAAATCATCGCACCGAGCTCCGCACTCGTTTTTATAACATACGGCATTGGTACGCAGGTTATCATGCAAACAACTTTCTGGTCCTCCGACAGTCGCTAGCACGAGCCTAGTTCCAGTCGGAAGATATGACGTCTGCATTCCTTCATAAAAGTACTCGCAGAGATTGGCGATGATTGACAGAAAAAAACAGGTCGTCTGTGCTGGGTGGTCATCAGCGCGAGTCACATGACCTTGGACTGAATACAAGACAAGCCGTGGCTGTCTTATCGCCTACCTAAACCACAACCTTCGGCTGACGAAATCAACTTGCTTCAGCACAAGCAGGATAGGGACGATGCGACCGGTGGTACTTCATCCTGAAACTGGCAGCGCCTGATAACCCAAAAACACCTAAAAGCCACAGCCATTTCATATCCGAGGGCATTAATTAATAACCTAGGCAATCCACGAAACTAAAGGTCGCGAAGACAGTTAAATCGAAAGGCAAATTTGAAGAACCCTGCATACAGCAACTGTACTATCGGTTCATCCCGCTAGCTCGTGCACACACAGCCTACAAGGGTTAACAATTAAAAGGGGCCGTTTCCCACTCAGGCGAAAAAGACGTGGCTTTAAGAAACACAAGTAAACACCGAAGCGTGTATTCAATTTGAACAGAACAGTGGAAAAAAGGTTGATAGATGGAGGAGGCGTGTTTTACAGGCAGTGTTCAATGCTTCGATAGAAGCCAGCAAGTGGCAGTCCCGCGCCGGTTGTGTACTCAGGACGGAAATATATATACTGACTGCGAAATAGCGGCGCAGACTCTGGAAAATAGATTGCAAGCAGTCGCTTTGTATAAATATAAATTGGCATGTGTGGGTGGGTGTGTGTGTGTGTGCATTTGTACAGGGGATGGGAAGGGTATAAAGGTTGTCAGTTCGCGTTTATCTCCCCTCTAGG